ATCCTAATACATAAAGGACTGAGTGAAAAACACTTCTTAAGTGACTAATGTAGAACAGAAATCTAACAAACATTTGCAGCTTGTGTTTCCCTGCACTATTAAAAAAGTTCTAATAAAGTCATGTTATGAAATGTTATGAAATGATGAGGCAGCAATGTTTTTATGGGTTTATTTTTCCCTGAGCATCAACTACCAGGTGACTAACAGGAAGTCGATCAGAATACCTGCTCTGATTGTTTCATAGAGTAAAAAGTCTTCACCTCTGTACTTTTTAAGATCATTGATTTCCTATTAAAGAATATGTTTCTGATGATTAAATCACACTGTTTTAAAATTCAGCAACTGATGGCTGGGTACCACCTTATGACATCTGGTCCTGGATACAGATACCTCTGAAGGGAACCTGGAGTTTTCCACCTTTAGAGATGTTTTTTCACAAGCAAAACAGTTTGTTTTTGTAAAATGAAGAAGTAAAATACTCGATTACTACACAGAAAACCAGATGTGTTCACTGAGAGGTTTGAACATAACAGAAAAAAATGAGTGGCTTTCTATTTCTATTTCTTTTTACAGTACGCTGAAATATAGGAAACATACTTCATAAATGATTTGGAAAGACATCCTCCAGATCATTGTTTTCTCATCTTGAACTGAAGATGTTCACATGTTCTTTTCTAGACAGGAGCCACATGGCATGAATAATATGAAGTAGTACTCCAAATAATAATGAACAGATTACACCATAACAAAGGATTCTTATTCCTTCAACAGAAAAACATCTAAAAATAAGAAAATAATGATCTATGAAATCACGTGTTGTATCACCATTTGTTTGATTTACTGCTAAGTTTAACAGTCACATTGTCAAAAATAAGAGAGTTTGGTGGATCATACTTTGATGTGTATACAAAAACAACAGCGTCTGATGTACACTGTGTCGGTTAATTCCCCTGTGTTATTAGTACGGATGTCTTCCTAATGATCTTTAAGTGCTCTCAGTTTGGGCTCACAATGTGGTCTGAGGGAAGAGACACACACACATCACATGAGCAGTCTTTAGTCCTAATGTGTACCTTAAAAACAACTGCATGTTGTTTCATTAGTGGAAAATAAGGTTTGGGAAAAATAACTTGAAAAGGACAAATGTAACTTTTTACAAACTCATTAAAGAGACGGTTTAGGAATGTCAATGCTTTGGTTTTAAAATGTGCAGTTCTTTGTTGTTTTCTAATCAGAACATGATATATACAGAATGATGCTATAAAAAGAAAGAAAAAAATGTTTTTTTATCAGCTGAAATATTACATTCATTCATAAGGGAGGACATTTGAGTGGCTATGAGTTACAGATAGGATTTTCTAGTTTGTATCAAATACCACGCTGCTGAATTTGATGAATATTCTTTATCCAAGAGTTTGACAGTCTGAGTTTGCACTTCATTTCCAAACTAAGTTACACATGTTCAAGGCCTCTCACTCTGAACACAATAATCTATATTCAATCAGACAGTTTGTACTCTGGCTGGCAACCAAGGTAGATAAAAAATGGACAGAAATAGTAACACTGTCAAGATTAAGCAATGGGTTGAATGGTCCAGTTCAATCTCTGTCATGTATTTTGAGCTTTTCAAAGAAGAAAATGGGTTATAGGACAGAAGAGGGAGGCATAAAATAAAGTATCCCTGATGTGAACAAACACATCTTTGTGATTGTGGCACACCAACTTTTTGATTTCTAGGACGCAGGTTTCTGAGGAGGAAAGATGAAGTAGTGAGAGAGGCCTGAAGAAAGGCTGATAAGTGTGGAACAGATAAAAAATAGATGAGTGTCATTACAGCTCTGCTGACCACTTACTGTACAACAACTTTCAAAGAAAAGGTGTGCTGATGGGGAACAGTCTCTGCTTGTTTCATTAGGATTTATCCTCCTTCTGAGGGCCCTGCCTGTTTAAAGGATGAGTTTTATGCCTCTGTTGCCAAGTGCTTGATCATTGGTGGGTTGAGCTGGACATCTTAAAATAATAATACAAAGGGTAGACCAAGTTAAATGAGCTAACTGTGGTTGGGATTTGGCAAGCCATAAATACAAATTGGTTGATTGATGGATTGTCTAATCCTGTGTGGAAAGGAAAGAAATGTCATGAGGTTTTGAAAAATTCATATTTCATATTGTGGGCTGACCAATGGGATCAAAGCATTAACATATGATTCATAGATGTCACCTTTGTGCTTTATGCTTATGGCCTCACTCTTCATGTATTATGCTTGATTGCAGTGCAGTCAGCACAAACTGAGGCATGGATGACCCTGTTTTGTTTTGTTTTAAATATAGATGTGGACTGACTAAAATGTAGATAAGATTTAGGTTGGTGTGTCTGCTCACTAAAAAAGATCATATCCTCAGCTGACATTTTTTGTTTGTAACAAGTTCCTGTGAGAGTTTTAAAATAGCTCAGGGGCACTGAAGATATCTGGAAACTTTGTTCTAGGAAGGTAACATGATCTAATTTGGGTCTTTAAAAAAGATCCAGCCCCTCTGCATCAGTGGATGCAGACTGTTTGTCTTACTATTGTTGTTATTGGCCTACTTTTGAACATCAATACAATCCCCTTGTTAGGCCCCCCTGTATTTGATTACCTTGAAGTCTCTGCTGTGCTGAGGTGTGTACTCGAAGGTCCACAGAGCCCGGACCAGCCCGGAGAGCTGCTCCGTCACCTCCCCAGACTCCTGCTGCTGCTGCTGCTGCTGGCTCCCCTTCTTCTGCACCAGCACCCCGTTGGACTTCGTTTTGTCACTGCTGCTGCTGGTGGTGGTCTCTGCCCCCTTGAACTGCTCCAGAGCCAGGTACTCTGCGAACAGCTCCGTGTTGCTCAGGCACTGTAGGATTGCGTTCATGAAGCAGGTGTTCCCGTGGTTCTTGAGCCCGGCAACACCTGGTACTTTGTCCCCGAACGGGAACCCCCCACAGTCGCTGTCGTCTGACGGTAGCGACCCCCCGATGGTGTTGGGGATCGAACCCGCGTCGTCCTTCTCGTCCTCGGCGGCCTGCTCGTCGGTGCCGAAATGAGACAGAGTCGACAGAGTCCGGAGCACTCTGTTCATAAAGCTCCCCACCGAGCGGACCGAGCTCCTCCGGAAGAGCTTTTTGCTGAAGGATTTCTTCTCCTTGTTACTGACAACTTTCGACATGGTGGCTCTGATTGACTTTCCCGCTTTTTAATGCTTTAAATGCAGAAATAAGGGCCCCCCTCGTGCACAGATAGCCCCTCTAGTTTGACAGAGGCCTGAGCTTATTTCACAGAAACATAAAGGCCTGTCACTTCTGGGGATCATATCATATGGAAGCAGTAGCATCAAACCAGCCCACTTGCAACACTGCGTCGGATTGCATAAACAGCCTCCATGGAGAGCCGCTCGGGGTCGTCCCGCAGCAGCCCGTAGCCATCCTCTTTACCGGTCCTCCCGGTGACATAACATCACCTGTGTCATTGTTCACACACAAAAACAAGGCGCTGAGGAACAATGTCTGCCGGACATAAATATCAGCGTTCACAATAAGGCTGAGAGTGACGAGCTCATCCTTTATTAAAGAACCCGCAGCTCCACCCTAACAGAAGGTATTTCTACCCCTTTAGCAGTCACATCCGCGGAGATGTTGGCGTGTTGGTGGTATTTACCCGGTGCTCGGTGGATGTCTTCCTTAAATCGCCTCCACAGTTGGCGCGCGCGCAGGAGGAACACCCTGACCCGCGCGCCACAGCCTGCTGCTCCCTCGCGCTCGGCTGCTGCTGCTGCTGTGGAGCATCGCTTCCGGTGCCAGATGTGAATGGTGTCCACAACATCCGAAAGTTTGTCTTTAATTCAGATACTTATCTCACTTTGCGTGCGTCTTAATTCCTCCCCTTCCTCTTTTCAGATGGTTTTCACGAGCAGGCCGCTTCTTCTCCCGTCTCCATCATCATCTGTAGGCTGAGATTCTGTAGGCAGGCAGGCAGGCAGGGCGGTGACGGCTGACGTCAGGGCCAAACACTGGTCCATGTTGGAGGAGAGCAGGTACAGCAGCATGTGATGCCGGATGATGCTCCAGTCCCGTCTCTGGACACCACGGACACTTTGGCAGCAATGGCAACATATCATCACAATACTGAAGCTATAAATAGAAATTCTCTTGACATACCGTGCCAAATATGACGGTAGAAAACCCTAGCTGAACAAAGGTTAGGCTACCATTATCCAAAATAATATCAATGCCCTATAGGCTTAACAGTGGATTTTATCTTAATATTAATTTAATTGCCTCCTGAAATGAAACAAATGATACATAAAAAAAAAGTATTCCTGTTATCTTTAGAATTAAACCTGTAAGTAATCAAATCTTTCAAATGAATGATCACTTCTGCACAAGTGTAATTAATCCTGTAGTCCAAAACATTATGAAGTGCCAATCACTTTTCTATTTTATCAGATGTTTTAATGATATTCTAAAAACCGTAAGATCTGCTTTTATCATTCAGGATTCTTACCTGTGTTCAGAAAAGTCCTCCATTTCTGCATGTATTTCCTCGACAGTTGAACGTGACAGACAGACACGACATTTTCATGACTTGAGGGTGAAAATGCATTCTGTATCAGTTCAGAGCACAAAAAATAGGCTAAAATGCTGCACTTCACGGACATGAGTAAAGTTATTTGTTCCACAAGTGGAAGTGTACCTTGTATTATTCTATTATTGTATTTTTTCTCCCTTTATTTAACTGATGTACATATGTTTGATTTTTAACTTGTTATTTTTGATCATTATATTCCTGTTTTCTTGAGCTGTTGTGGCGAAAAGAATTAGTAAAAAAGTTTAACTTTATCTTTATCCAATGTAAGACTGTAAAATGGATTTAGAAAAAGATAATTCATTTAACAACACTGGAGAGATTACATTGGAAAATAATTAACCGCCTATTTCATATAATGATAATTAACAGTTTAATAAAACTTCAATGAATTCCATGATGGTGTCAATGTTTTATGGACAGATTTTCACGTTACTGCATGTAATATACGGAAATGGAGACAATCTGTGTTCTTTGTAAAGTCCCTACAACAACAACAGAGATAAACAGAGAGCCATCACCTCATCCTGTGGTGTTTGATTTAGAAAGATTTCCTTTATATCATTTTAAATTATAGATGAATTATGTTAGTAAAACAAATTAACAAATATATAGGTCCTGTAGATTTCAAAAGCTTGCAGACAACCCCTGATATAGCCTCTGTTACTTCCTTAAATGCTTCAACAACTTAAAAATACAGAAATGAAAGAAATGATGGACACTTGATCTGGCTTGACTTGAAGGCATTATAACCAGTGAGACATCATTTAAAGCCAACATTAAACAGTATAAAAAAAAAGTCTGGACCAACCCTGATTTCAATCTCTCTCACAAAGAAGACTATAATCCCAAAATGCTTCAGCCCCTATTTAAAACTTAAAAGGCTGTAACATGTAACCCCTCCTCTTCTGATATCACATTCTTCTTTGACGGGTCAAACCTGCCCGTCAGTTCCCTATGCTGCTCTGACAGCCTCTACACCAACACAGTCCTTTGTTCTTCTTCTCAGTTGTTGTTAGTAGTCGATGAATCGAAGGGCAGCGATGGTAGAGGCAAGACGACGGGGCAGCAGTTTGGCCGTCTGTCGGTAGTCTTCTGGTTTTGCTCTCAGCAGAGTGACGATGTGCTGCAGGGTTCGGGACGGCTGCAGGCCAAGAGCGTCCATCACATTACTCAGATAGTCTGTGGAGCAAGAACAGGGGTTGTCATGCTAACTGTACATAACAACTCAAGTGGAAGCTACAGTTTCCTAAAAGTCATCTAAACATTGATTTTCTGAATACCGATATCTGTGGCTAGCTGTTTGGTGGAATGGACGCTGAGTTGGGGAATGAGCAGGATGGCATCACAGTACGTCTGCATGGTTGCCCGAGCGATGGAGCCCAGCCAGTAGTCTGCTGTGTTGTCCAGCTCAGGAAGGTCATCGCCTAAGACAGAAGGAAGGTGAGGTTTTCAAAAGTCAGTCAGTTCACAACCTGTTTCCAGACAGGACAGTGATGCTAGAGTATAGAACATTTAAAGAGTAGTAACTATGATCCCACACAAACACTGACACAAGTCCATGATGTGTTATGACGGTATCAAATTGATTCCCTTTGCCATGGTTGTATTAAAACAGGACTGGTTTGACCTTTATCTTAATAGTTTCTAAATATTTAAATCAAATTGGGAATGCTTTTAATTCAAACTGAAGCCGACTAAACATCACTGTCACAGAACAGTGTGAAAAACAGATGAAGTAGGATCTATATTCTCCCTTTAATCTTTTTACAGAAATGTTTTGCAAATGAAAGGATTGTAGGCTTGTTTAAAAACCGCTGATTGAAGGTCTCATTTGGGTATTACAATATATGCTCATTTGTTGATATAAATACATTACTTGATAACATGGCAAGTACTTTATTGTGTTAGGGGAGTCTCTGTCACTTTAAATATTTTATTTTGAGCTTATATAGCGCTTTTCTAGTCTTCCGACTACTCAAAGCACTTTTACACCGCCTGTCACACCATTCACACCCTTTCACACACTAATAGTAGTGATCGCTATGTCGTATCATCAGAAGTAACTAATCCCATTCATACACCACCACTCAAGCAGCGGGAGCAATTCAGGGTTAAGTGTCTTGCCAAGGGAATCGGACAAGTTGCTCAGTTGGGGATCAAACCCTGGACCTTGCGGTTGAGAGGCGACAACTCTACCAACTGAGCCACAGCCGCCCCCAAATGTGGACCCCAAAAGATACCCTAAAATGTGCATTAATGCTCAACTCAATAGCTTAGGGAAGGAAGTCTACTTTTACACAACTTTTTATTCTTTTGACATTTTTCTTTAACAAATACTAATGTAGCTCATTTCTGAAAATGGGATGGCACAAAGTCATTGCAAAAATTTGCCCTTAAACACAGCCCCATTCTTAAATCAAGATACATGGAGAGTAAATAAGATCAATAACTTGTGAATAAAAACACAGTTAAAAATGATTTAGAAATGTAGTCTTCCCAGATCAATATCACATAATATCAACTTCTCCCATCTAAACTGGACAAAGGGTTTTAAAATAGGAAGAAAATGGTTTGATTGCAAGTTGTTTGGAGGAGATCTATTTTTATTTGAACAGCTGAAGCATGAATACATTCTTCCAAGTTGCAAACCCTCCTCCTCCTCCTGAAGCATGTCGAGCTCGTTGATGTACTGCCGTCTTATCTGCTGGCCATCTTCTCTCAGCAGAACTTTAACTGTTGAAATGTCATTCTGAAGAAGCTTGAGCATGTGACATGGATCCAGGAGAACGTGGACTTTTAGTGAGGGGTCTTCAGGATGGCAAAGAAAGAGAGAAAATATCAGTTATTCATTAAATCATTTTTTTGTTCTCATCTATTTTTTTGTATTCATGTGTGTGGAAGAGCACATTTATAAATTCAACAGTGTACTACCCAGACAACAAAGGTACAGTATTCAGGTGATCAACATCTATTTAAAGTTAAGAAGATAAACATTATTGTAATCATTCTATTTTCAGCTCTCTCACTCACTTGCACAATGATATTCCACATCAAATTGCCTCAGATTTTGTGGGAGGAAAAGTTAAGCAATTTATTGTGGATAGTACTTCATCTTTACATGAAACAAATATAACCTGAATTATTTAAATCATTAACAGGTCCCAACTCTCTGTGCTTTAGTACAGAACATACAGTAGCTCATTTATTATTAACATGAGCTCAGTACATGGCTGTATTCTTCAAACTATTTCTTGTACTTATTGCTTAATATCTGATTTTCATTCCATATGTTATTTATATATTTTTTACTTCAACTGCTATATTCTGTGTAAAAGCATCTGTAATGATTAAGAACCATATTAATAACCATATTAAATTTACCTGAACTCATTCAAAGTTAAAGTTTGCACAAATCTTAAGACACTACATCAACCATGTAACTTTAATGTCATCCTCTATAACCTACACAGCAGATTAGGTTCAGTTGAGTTTGTGTTACTGACGGATAATTACTACACAAAGTTTGTTTTTTAATGTCCACATTTACGTGGAGTATAACATTACTCATAACGTCAGATAACCATATTTAAAGTCTGCGGTTAACTACCGAGGCGAACCTTGAGCTTTTAACATCACACAAACTCATTATTTTCAACAACAACATCTTAACAACAAACATTTCTAAACCATTGACTGTAAATAATGGGCTACACTGAGTACAGTTAGCCGACTGGTTTACAAGCTAATGCTAAACAAGCTAGGTCCGTAAATATAAATACCGACACGAGTATGCAATAAATATAACACTACTATATCACTTACCGAAAAAAAACTGAAGCATCAACTTGTTGGATGGTCTGTTAACTGCACAGCAAGCCATGTATGTTGTCAGATACGTGTTAAACAAACTCTCCAAACGAAGTAAAAAAGAGGAGAAATCAGACGGATCAAGCTGCTAGCCTCCTGGCCTGCTTGACAGATAGATGCAGCGCTGTCAATCAAATCTGACACAACCCTTATATGGGCATAGCTGTTTTCCTTAATAGAATAAAATCCGACGACTTTAAAATTCAACCCCCCACAGTGTGAGGAGAAGGGGCCGTCAACTTATCAGATATATCTCGTTTTTTGAACCAGGCTGTAAACATGTTAATTCCAGTGGTAAAAGCGGGCTTTTTTGGCTGTGGGTTTATGGCACTTCCGGCGCTTCTGCAGCCAGCCTCAAGCGGAACCTCGAGGAACTGCAGTTTTTTGTACTTCCGCATAGGCTTCATTTTTCCAGACCGGAGGTTGCCCCTTGGTTTAAAATGACAAATTTAAATTTTTGGGGTTTGGGAATATTCAGGATGAGCAATACAACTGAAACAAATAGGTTTGAAATAAATATTATGTGGAGTGTAAGATTAAGAAGAGAGGGAGGATTGATGTGCAGGAACCTTGCTCCGGAGGGAAAGGAAGCTTCCCAGCATGAAGGGCCATCTCTAGAGCCGGGTCCTCCTGAGTCACAAATGGCTCCAGGTGAAGTGGCAGAGACATCAGGTACTGTCCTATCTGGAACACACAAATCAAAACTTGATAAATCAAATGTCAGAGAGTTCTGGGATATTACCTTTTCTATGTGTTTTAGTTGTGAATAAGTACAAAAACATCACCAACATCTTCTTATGAGGAAAGTCCTGGTGTTAATTATATTCATCTGCACATTGTAAACATATCTATCGTGATTTATGGATGATTTGAATTGGCTGTTACTCACATTTGTGATGTATTCTTGAGGTGACAGGCTGAACGTAGGCAGGTCCTCTGTGTAGCTCTCTCCGAGACCAGGTTCCTCTTGTCTCTGCACAGAAACAGAAATCAAACATAGACATAGACACCGAGCGTTTAACACTCCAATGCACACAGACGTAGCAGCAGCTCTCTTCCATGCACTCAAAAATCGTCAAAAAGGATCTGAAATCAAATCATCAAGAAACTTGACACTTAATCACCTCCATCTTGGAAATGAGGATGAGCTGGTGTTTGATCTGCAGGAAGACAGAGTCGAAGGCCAGCTGGTTAGCCTGCTGGTTGAGTCTGGTCAGAGCTGCTCTGGCCTCTGCTAACAGGTTGGAGTTACCTGTTCCTTTCTCCTGACAGACAAAACAAAGAAATGCATGAAAGCAGCTGCAAAGTTTCCTAAAAAAAGTCCTGATACCAAGGGAAAGTTTAACAAGACTGAGTTCTATTCACAGAATGCTCTGCTTGATACCTTCAGGGAGTAGAGGACCTCCATCAGGCTGTTGTATTCAGCCATGTTTCCCCTCTGAAGGTAGTTGTATTCCTGCCAGGGGTTCTTGATGGGGCTCTTTCTCTCAGTGGAGCTGGCCTCCTGTATGCCCGTCAGGCTGCGTGGGCTGTACGACTCTGACAAGTACTTACCTGCCGTGCCCAGAATCCTGTGAGTAAGAAACTACAATGTTTATATCTCTATGTTGTTTTGTTTAAAGTTTTTTCCTAAGAGATGAATGGTGTTAACAATATAAACATTTATCTTACTTGTTGGAAAGCTGCTGCTCAAATTCTCCACATTGTCTTAGTAGTTCTCCACAAGTGGCAATAATCCTGAAAAAACACAACACACATCTCTTCAGTGAAGGGCTGCTGTGGAAGATTTGGTCAGTGTCATTAGAATTGGCTGTTAAATATGAAGTTTTGACTTTTTTTATTTCTGTTGCTTCAATTCATCTGCAGACCAACCTGTGTTTTTATGTTACCTGAAAGACACATGTCGGCTGCCAGTCGAATGACCAGGCTTTGTTAAATTTAAAAAAATTTCTCAGTGTTTAAGTTACATCACTTTCGTTTTTAAGTACACCGTTAATCAGATGAAGGTTTAAGTCCGCTACAGTAGTGGGCTAAAGTTAGCAGCAGCTCCTAAAGCCATATCAAAGGACATCGGACAAACACAGATCTTGAAGGTGAAACTGCTTTATTTTTATGTGTTTTATTAACATGGTTCTTTTTGTTTTGGATTACAGAGACCTCTGGGTATAACTTGGTTCCTGGAGAAGAGAAACTCTATTGTGATAGAAGAATGACAAAGTGTCATTTGAGACTCGGTTATAAAGTGAACTGTCTGCCTTGTCATTGTTCTGGCATTCCTGTGTCTACAATGACTCAGCTGAAAAGCAAAAGTGCAGAGATGCTGGTGAAAAATTAAAGTTGACGGCAGGTTTTCTGGACTGAAAAAATGAATCCAAAACTTTTACCAGACAGTCCTACATTGGTACATGTAAAAAATAAAATATAGTAATAAAATATGATTAACCTGACAGAGTTCTGAAAGGCGGTCCAGTCTTCTTGGAAAAGAGATGAACTTGAAGTATCCTCCAGTTTACATTTCTTCCTGATCGATTGCAGAGTTGATGAGAAGTCTGACACATACCTGAAAAAAAGAGTTAAATCACAATCCATTTAAATAAAGGTCCATAGTCTAATCATGAGGCAAATGATTTCTATCAACTCAACGTAGAGGTAGGTAAACTGTACTTGATGGTGACAATAAAGGATGTTTACTTGGTGAAGAGGGCTTTGAGGGCTTTGAGGAGACCACACACGGCCAGCCCGTCAGTCAGTTTGACACAGCGGTCCACAGCAGCACCTGCAAGGCCGAACAACTTCCCAACGGAGTGACTCAACTCTTCCACACAATCAATGACCTCCCCATGTTCCTAAAATAGAGTACAGGGAGAGTAACACTGAAGAACTAAGAATATAAAGTTAATAAATAATGTGTTTGTATGTGTGAGAGTTTGGGGGTACACACCAATGGTACAGCACTGATCTGGATGAGCAGGTGAGCTTCCTCCAGCTCTCCATACTGCAGCTGGTAAGGTTTGTAGGGGTCATACAGCACACACACCAGCTCATTCACTTTCAGCAGATTATTCTCACCTGTGAAGGAAACACAGCTCAGAACATAAGGATCAAACTCTGCCCACATCTCCAGCAACTACAGCCATGCCATATCTGAACACAGACCCAGGTGGGGCAGCATGGCGGCTTCCAGGCTGCGTCCGAAGGTGGAGGCGGTGTGATAGAGTTCGAGCAGGGTGTCTAGACGCTCCTCTTGGGCGGAGCGCTCAACAGCCGCGCTCAGGCAGACAGGGATGGAGGGGACCATGGCACCGAGGGTTTGGATGAGCAACACCGTCACCACCTCATACGGGTTCTTGAACACCTGTTTCGGTTATAACAGTACAAACAAAAATGAATGAATTAAGGTTATCGTAAAGGAACTACTTTTTCAGGATGCTCGTGATCCAACCAATTTAACTAGTGGGTTAGCATAGCTGGAACTTGTCACCGCAGTGCAGCTTGTTATGTGTCTGTAGTGTTTACTCTATGTCTCACCTGGCTGCTCCATTGTAGTTGGGAGTGCCACGTGGAGAGCAAGGTGTCGTAGAATTCAGACAGCTGCTGATTTAAACTGAGCTCGCTCTGAGACAGATCCTGCCACATGCTCACCAACTGGCCCTGGAGATGCACAAAACAGACATGCACTCATGAATTGACCAAAGTAAAAACTACACCTGTCATAACATGAAGGGATATTATCTTGGACATTTTTAATTACCGTATTGGTCCGAATATACTAGACCCCGAATATAAGACGGCCTTTTTCCCCATCGAAATAGGTCCGAAAAAGTCGGGTCGTCTTATATTCGGGGTCTAGTATTCAGAGAGCAGCTTTAATTGTTTGCCTGTCCCTTTAAATGTCAATACACATGACGCGCTCTGGGAGGAGCAGGGGAGCGATGACAGTGAGAGCGAACACAGCGGGGCGGAGGACGTGTGTGAGGAATAGGAGACATCGGAGGAGAAGTTTGGCGAGCTTTAGTTTAGTTAAAGATGTGGCCTGTATTTTCTCTGTTATTTAAAAATGTTGATAATATTGCTTGATTTTAATGTTGAATCATACTGTACATATTTTGACCTTGTGAAAAACTTTGTTTTGAAAAGTGCTGTAGCATATAATGATAAATAGGCCTATGTTTATTATTGTTATCATTATTACAACAACAGGTGTTTAATTCAATGTGTTTTTAATATTGGGGAGCGATGAGAGCGAGAGCGAACACAGCGGGGCAGTGTGTGTGTGTGTGTGTGTGTGTGTGTGTGTGTGTGTGTGTGTGTGTGTGTGTGTGTGTGTGTGTGTGTGTGTGTGTGTGTGTGTGTGTGTGTGTGTGTGTGTGTGTGTGTGTGTGGAATAGAGAGGACACATTGGAGGAGAAGTTTTGAAAAGTGCCGTAGGCCTATACTGATAAATACGGTACGTTAATTATTATTATAATTATTAATACAACAGGTGTTTAATTCAATGTGTTTTTAATATTATTATTTTCAAATAAAATGAAGTTCTTTTTTTCTAAATGTGAGTGTTGAAAAACAGGGGTCATCTTATAATCAGGGTAGTCTTACATTTGTGACCAATACGGTAATTATTACAGTCAGGTAATCAGTCAGGCCTGTAGCACCTACTTTATGACACTTGTAGTAGTAAGCGAGGAGCTGTGGCATTCTGTCTATCTCTGTGAAGACTTTAACAAACAGCTTGGCTTGGTCTGCAGGGGGGAAAAAACGTAAACAGCCGATTACTTGAGTACCCTGGAGGTTGAATTCCTGCTGGAAGAAGTTTGAAAGCTTGAGTGTCACAGCTTCCTACCTATGGACATGGAATTAAAGGTTGCCACAATCTGTGGGCTGGCCAGAGCCTCCAGTCTGTTTTTCAGAGCCTCTAGGTGGACACACTTTTCAGAGTAGTCGGGTGTGTCCACCAACATGGCCAAACTGTTCTGCATGCTGGTCAGCTTGGAGGAAATGACTGCAAAGTCCTGGAAAAGGAAAAGACCATATTCAAGACACATGACCACAGAATAATATCTGAATGTTCCAGGATCAGTTTTTAGACACTTAAACACACAAACAACCGTGTTTTTTAGTTAGTAGTTAGAAATTCAGTTAGTTGAATGGAGTCCTGTTGCAATGTCTTTGCTTTCTACCTGTGTTTTGAAGGTCTCTTCAATGTCTGCACTCAGTGTGCTCCATTTGTCCGCCTCCTGCAGAGCTTCAGCTGCCAGCTGCATTCGACCTTTCACTTGATCTATCTCCACCAGGACCTGGGGAAAATAAGGCACCATATGGAAATCATACTTCAGAAATATCCTTTAAGTATGCCTATGCTTGTAAATGTAGTAGAGAAGAACTTATGCACACCTGCATAGACTGCACAGTGTCTTGCTCAAACTTCTTGATGTCCTCTTTGACCAGAATCATTTGATCTTTGAGGAAGGAAGCCTCCTGTTTAAGAGCGTCCACATCTCGCAGCACTCTGGGCATGTTTTGCAGCGCCTGGTTACTGGTCTCTACACAAACAACAGTAGTCATTAAGTTAATGGAGAAAATGAAAAATAAATATTGGGTGCCACTCGAAAATGTGTTTTTCAACAACATATGTAAGATGTAATAAAAGAAATCCAACCAATTTATAGCAACACCTTTTGTGGTTTTATTTTTGGTGGGGTCATTCTGCTGAATAAAAAAACATTAAACAGTTTTCTTTACTTTTTTGCCATGTCATTGGTATCAACGATTGTAGGCTATCTGACAAATTCACCTCTCTTTATAATAAAGTACAGAATAAAGAACCACAAACTTCATCCTTGTTAAACGACTAAAAAGTTAAAGCCCACCCCCATGTGAAATTCAAAGATGTCAGCATAGTGTGTGTAACAGATACACTAAAAGGGTCTGGTCTATTTAGCAATACCAATTTTCTGATTAAATAACTGGTATAACGATAATATATTAATGATATTAATATTGTATCCTTTTTAATTTCTGCAAACTATTTCCGTTGACAGCACATTCCCAAACGTGTCTTAAGCAAGCTACTAGTACATCAATTTCATGTAAAGATTTTAGACAACTTTTCTGAAATATAATCCAATAAATGTACAAGACCATATATATATGGTTACCAGACAATCTTGTAATAAAGAAAAGAGCAATTCAATAAAATCAGCCTTGAGAAGGTTGTAATGAAAATGTTGATTTAGCCTAATGGAAGCTGTTTAGAGTGCTTTGCAATTGTTCTGCATTATACTTCACCCTCGCTAAACAAATAGAATAGACTGAACTTTACAATAATTCTTGTTGTAGCACCCAAACTACAATCAAGAGGTAGGACATTATGACAGAACTGTTTTAGGCTTCATAAGATTTGACCAGGTGTTCTGACCTGTCAGGACCTGACAGCAGGAGAAAACCAGGTCCGTTACGCAGACAGATACACTGACAATAAATACATCTATAGGACGTTAACTAACATACTGACCCTCAATGGCATTGTTGACTTCCTGGATGAACAGCTGCAGCTTCATGACCAGTGTAGCTGCGTGTGTGTCCGCCTTCCCCGGCGCGTCCTTCTGCACCACCTTGAAGGCTCCATTCACCCAGTCCTTCACATCAAAATTATCGTCCAGGAACTTAGAGAAATCCATTCGACCTCTCTGCTCATTTACTGGAGCAAACAGTTGGGGGTGTCTCAGTCAAACTCCTCTTCTGCAGTGCAGTCTGTGTCATCGAAGCATTGCTAACGTTAGCTAGTTTTTCCCAAACAACGGCTTCGACACGAATATAAAATAAATAGCCCAAGAAAATGAAATTATCATTACAACTAAATATAGTTCCAACAAGGCGACGGCTTCCTCCAGAGTTATTTTTAAATGTCTACGACTTCAAATGAGAATATTAGACACATTTCAAATGTTTGATGCTAGCAGTACTACCGACACTTGACAACAACTTCCTTGAGGTGCTTTCTATTTACCTTCCCCGGAAACAAGCGTCAGCACAACATACATACCCTGAAGAATAGTGTCGATAGGATAGAATGACGAACATTTTCACAACAAAATGAGACAATCTTTTAAGCAATACTATATTCTGCAGAGAGGGAAACGAAATGGGCACAAAGAAAGCTTTTAGTTTGAAGCAGTGTCACAAATATATGATCCGTGTAGAAACGTGTTATTAATTAACGTGTTAGTAATATTTACAGTCTATGGTTATTATGTGTCTTTTTTTTTTTTTACCTGAACCCATCTTTCAGACAGACCTTCCTATCAAGAACAACGCCCCAAAACAGTTTCACCTACTATTTTTTTTATTATTATTTATAATAATAATAATAATAATAATAATAATAATAATAATAATAATACATTTAATTTGTAACGCACTTAACATTTTTTGCAAAAAAACTCTCAAAGTGCTACCGGAAAAAATAAAATAAAATAGAAATAAAAACAAAATTGTACTAAGGTCATCTTTAAGTATGAAAGTCATTCTAAACATCAGTGGTTCTCTACTGGTCTATCCTCAGCACCCAGCACCAACTCCTTAATGAGAAATCACAACCTCAATTTCTGATATTTTTCAACCAATCACATTAATTAAATGAAAATTAGTAGAGATGGGACAGATCGGATCTAATATCAGTATCAAGGCCGACATTTTTTATTTATTTTTTGCTCTTTCAATAAGAAATGCAATGCTGGGTTTAGTTTAGCTTTAGAATAGAATAGAATAGTTGTGAAAAAGAGAGCTTAGACCAGAATAAGAGGAGTATTATTGGATGGCAGTGAGGAAGCCTCCCCTTCATTTTACTGCTTATCATGCATCAAACACTATACTGGGGTTGCTTCATCTTGTGTTGGCTTTTAACTCTATAACTGATGATTTTTTTTAAGGTTAAAGTTTAAACTAAAATATAAAGTCTATGATTTCCTTTCTCTCATAGCATTACAATATTTTTTTAGCACAGTCATGCAGAGCATGTACAGCAATGTTAGTATTTCTGCTGCAGCAGGCAGTTATCACACCACACAGTCTATGACATGAATATTATGCAAACATAGTAAAGATTAGACTGGATGTTGAGTGATAATAAAGCAGTAGACTGACTGAAGGCATACATCAAATAGCAACACTTCGGAGCAGCTTTTTCAACTTCTCCCTCTTTGGTTCATTTAAAGATGGGAGTTATTGCTGATGTAAAGGACACATTATCGAAGGCAGTTTTCACTCCTTCCACTCTACTGTCTGGTCGAGGTGGGCTCCACATGTGTCAGATCGTCCTGTGTCTGGTCACCTTCGTCCTGGGCTTGTTCCGAGGAGGGAGCAGCCACACTTACTGGAACTATGCAATGTTCACCTGGGCCTTCTGCCCCATCATGACCCTCATCATCACCATCATTGAGATGTTCAAGCTGGATATCCTCCTCATCCTTTGCATGGACTGGGCTGACTTCACCACAGGGATGGCCATGTCTTCTTCTCTCATGACAGTCTCTGTCGCTATTTTCTACGCCAACTTCTACGCCTGTCTGAAATGCCTGTATGGCCTGATAGTGAGCGTGTTCGCCATTGTGTGTGCCGTTTTGTACGTCCTTGAAGTGGTGAAGGACAAACTGTTGGACAGGAAGAAAGGGAGCTACCTGGCTGCTCTGCCTGGCTTCTGGAAGGTTCTGGAGGCATTTGTGAGCTGCATGATTTTCATTTCTCTGTCTGGTTACAGAGACAAGATCGCTCTGATCCTGTGTGTCATAGCATATGCCATTCCTTTCCCCATCCTGCCTTTAATCATCGCCACCAACATCCTCAAGAAACTGAAGAAGTGTTTGCCCTTTAACCTGGACAGATTTGTCTTTATATTTCTGGTGATCTCTGTAATACTGTATATATTCGCTGCCATTATGTATCCCATTTTTATGTTCAAAAACAACCCTCGGCCCCATGACTGCCCCCCCAGCTACTGTATCTGGGCTATTCAGTTTATGGTCGCTTTTTTGACATATGTGAATCTCATTCTTTTCACACTGGATCTCATTTTTACCCTGCTTGGCATCTGTGGCTTTAAACGCACTTAAACACAATGAAGACTTTCCTGTACTCTTCCTAACTGCACATTTAAACAACTTAGGGTTAAAAACCATAGGGGGATATTGAGTAATAACCTGAAGTATGTCAGGAAACAGGATAACATTAAGCACAGAACAGAAACGTGTAAAAAAAATCAATTCCAAAGATAATAAAAATGAGAAAGAAATAGTTTTAAGCAGCAGGGTTTAGGGTTGCTCTTCTTTACAAACTTGTCAATGGTGTGAAGAGTTATTCAAAACATGAAGATATTTAAGAGATTGTACTCACCTTCGTCAACCCGATTGTCTGTGCTTATAGGCTGTGTCCGAAATCACTCCCTACTCACTATATAGTGCACTATACAGTGAGTAGGGAGTAGGGAATGAGTAGTCTCTGTGTGTCCTCCCTTGTGTTGCCAGTTTGATGTGTTTAAGTGTAACTAAGTAGTACCTGTGTGTATGACTTTGCCTGTTTTTGACCTGCCTTTCTGTCTGTGCTCTTGGACTTTTTGTGTATTGAACCACACGTAAAATAAACCTGCTTTTTTGTACTCTACCCGTTGGAGTCTGCTTTTGAATCCTTCTGTGTATGTCTTTGTAACATTTAGGTTTAGGAGCAATGGATGTGTGTAAGTAGAAATGTAAAGAAGAGGGGTATTCATCGTTATCATAGAAGAGGGTACATTTCAAATGCTGATTTTGGATTCTGAATTTGGATTGCCTGCTGAATATGACAAACAAATCAAGCCAACATACTGTGTGCAAAAACTCTTTCAAATTCAAACATTCACACTAGCTGAAGGGCAACTCATTGATTGAACATTTGAATAAGGGGAAGATGTAAATGAGGCATGTCGTTTAAGATGTGGCTTTATCTATTTATTGAGAAGTGTCAACAGTTGAGCTTCAGAAGAAGCAACCTGCACCTGGCAGAGCACAGGAATTCATGTAGAGACTTTTTCTACCCTATTTTTTTTGTCTTAAAGATCTGGGCTCCCTACTTTGAGCATCATGTGCGGCCCGTTCAAGGGCTTCCAGGGAATCCTGCGCCTCCTGGAGATCATCTTCAGTGTTCTGTCTCTCATCATTGTCATCTTCAGAGGCCGGATGGTGAGTTTGTCTGGGTCTTCTGCCTCACCGTGCCCCTGGTCCTGACTGTGGTGGAGGCCAAAATGTGGCATGTCCTCCTGGCAGCTTTCCTTCCAAACTGGGCTGACCTGCCTGTGCGCTCTGATGATCACTTCAGCGTCTGTGATCTTCGCAGCTGTGTTTGTGTGCCTCTCCTGCGTCGTTAGCATCCTGTGTTTCATCATCTCCACGGCTGCAACTGTTTCCTTCCTGATTGATGCTGTGATGCAAAAAAAGAGTTTTCCAACCAGATACCTCTCCAACTTGAGAGGAGGACTTCGCACAGTAGAGGCGTTTATAGCCTGTATTGTTCTCACTGCTGCTACGGATCACTTTGTAACAGGTGAATGGTCTTTTCATCCATTCGGGATGATTTGCAGCATGATTGTGTTCGCTGTTTGCCTCCTTGTCACTGTTGTCATCAGTGAAAAAGTGAATGGACATGAAGTTGAAGTTTACAAAACATAAGTGGAGAATGTCATCTCACACCCACACAACAATGTGTAACTTTTGATAGTATAATATCAGTGGACATTTGACTACTTCTATAATGTTTTATTGCCTCTGCTAATAGTTCACAGACAGTTTATTCAAATGTCACACTCTGGCCGTTGAATGCAATAAAAAACGAGATAGTGAAGGCAAATGTCACAGCCAACACTTTCACAGCTGCTACCAAATAAAAAGGATATGACAGTTAACTAATCAAATGTGTATTTACACACTCTTTTTTTGTTATTGTTATTGTAGTATTTCATTATAGGAAAAAATAGAAAGGCATTAAAGTCTCTAAATTCAGAGTTGTGTCAGTACTCAGCTCCTTCAGGCCTCCTCTGGCTCTTCAAACTCCACGCTCTCCAGCAGACCCTGGAAACAGAAGTAGTGGGAGTTGCAGAAGAGGGGGGGCTTGTTGGGACACGGACCCTCCACTTCTGGTTTTAAAGAGGCAAAAGGGTTGGCTCCACTTCCCTTCAGGTCCATCTCCAGCTCCAACAGGATCTGCAGGGAGTATGTATTTTCTGCCTCACTGTGAAGGAGGACAAGATGCATCAGCAGATATTAAATTCAACAAACATGTCATGGATAGAAGACACAAAAAAGTAGGATTTGTTGACTTGGTAGCATATTTGTCAGATTTGCACATGTGAAACAAAACAGTGAAGCAAATTCTTTACACTGTCAATGTGCATATTTGTGTACCATAAAGGTTATCACCAAGTGAGCCTGAGCTGGTTGAAAGCTAACCTAACAATGTCTGAAACTATAATCTATTACAGACTATTAATCATATACTACCAGACTAAATTTATAAAACTTTTCATTATAGCACAGCACCTAATAACGAACCAATTGATCCCTAATACTCTACTGAAATCCAAAAAAGAAGCACTTTACAGAATACTTTATTGGCAATGTAGGAAACAGCTACAATAATCCTATTGTTATCCGTGAAACTGCAATAAACCTTTTCTTGTATTTAGTTATCATAACTCTGCAGACACGTTTATCTATGTATGTAATATTTTTAATCTGTTGTTTTTGTAAATAGTAATATAGAATGCAAAATAAAATACTCTAGCATGTCCTTGAATTATCTAAGGTCAAATACGTATTTCTTATACTGATTGGCTCATGGAAAGGTTTTTTTATTAACAGCATCTCGTAACATGTTCTTGCTTTCTTTATGTGTATGTGTAGACCTTTAAATATGTTGTGTTTTTATTCCAGACAACAACAAAAAAAACATTTGAACAGACTTAAATATTGAAGCTGGTGTTGGTAGAGCTCATTATTACAAAACTACTCAACTAGTGTGGTTCTTAATCTATTAACTGATCATGTTCTAATGGGATCTTAATCAGAGGATTACGATGATGTGAAATAAATGTGTAGTATTAGTACAATGTTTTCCTCTGAAGTTGTGAAGTAGAAGTATAAAGTGATGGGAATGGAAATATTTAAGTAAAGTAACAGTCTATAACTATTCAATTTAAGGTATTCAACCATGTGATCACTCTTCTTGAAACTCACTTTCGAGCAGTAAACATGGAGGGAATCTCATAATCTCTGAGCAGCAGAAGAGTTGGAAGCCAACCCTGATCCAGGGCCTGACTGGCATCAAATCCTTAAAAAAAAAAAAAAAAAAAAAAAAAAAAAAAAAAACACATCAAAGTGAGTTCAATAAGAAGCACACAACACAACAAAGACATTCAGATTTGAGATGGTAAAAATCTTATTCTCACCAGGATGAAATCCTACCACCAGATCCGGCTTGGTTGCCTTCTCTTTCTCCACCAGGTCCTCCCAGAACTCATGGTACAGACCCTTGTAGGCGCCGATGTAGACCCTCTGCCTGGGACCAAACGCTGTAAGAGGAGGCCTCATGACAGGGCCGTCCACAACCTCTGGTCCCACCATGACGATCTCAATACCCTGGTGCCCGGGGAACATTTTGTTCAGCTCATCATAGTCAGTGAGTCTCGCTGCTAAAGTCTCACTCTGAGCCACTCCCACCAGGTGGATGGTGAGAGGTCTGGAGAAAGGGTTGAGACCAAACATCCTCATCCCCCAGGCTATGGTAAGCGGCCTGGAGAAAAACTCGCTGCACACCCTCCACAGGGACTGCTTTAGGTCTTCATCGCCCGGCTGAGGTCTGCCTGTGTGTGTCCACAAGCCTTTCATGTTTGCACCGCTTAAAACCGGACTGAGGCGAGAGGTGAGATCTCCCTGCATGGCAAGCCAGCCATCCCAACCTTTGACCTCTGACTGCGGCTTTGACCATTTCTCTGTGGCGAATGGAAGATCTCCTAATGAAACAAAAACAAAAAAAGTTTGTTAGGTAAGAAAAAACAAACCCTATGTTAATGTATTGACTTAAAGTATCTAACTATACATTGGGAAAACTTCTGTACAACTGATGGTCACTAACCCAGCAACACGCCATCCAGAGAAAACAAGAGAAGTCAGAGAGAAAAAGAGAAAAAATGATATTATCTATGGCACATGCAGAGAAAATGACCCGACTGGTGTTTCTGTATTCTCACAATTGTTAATCCTCTGCAGTGAGCAGGAAGAAGTGAGAATGAGTGAATGATTCTGGACACAACCTTTTGCTTTCATATAAATGTACCTTTAAGCAAAAGCCACTCCACTACTCTATCAATGGCAGCCAGGCACAGCTGTGAGCAGAACTTCTTGTGTTTGGACCAGTCCTCTTTCTGACACTCCTTACAGCAGTAATACACATGCAGACATCTGCAGGAAGATGGAGCACAGAAATATGTTATAGTAAAATGGTCAAGTTTGATAAGGTAATATTTTGGCAGCTTTTTGCTGTTTTTGTGTTACCTTGCACAGCGCTTCAGACTCTGAGGGTTTGAAAGCTGTTTCGGCCATTTCTGGCAACCTGCACAGAATTTAAAAGAATCCTCCATCTTCTCAAACATTTCTTTTTGAGACTGGAAGGCCATGGGTCTGACCTTGGACTCCACATCAGCTCTGCAGAGAAAAGTTAAATGACTTCATTGTAGAATCAAACAAGATGCTCCTCATGCCTTCATTTCAATATGTTTGTGGAGCTGCTTGATGCCGTTGCTGTCCTGTGCGTAACATCTGATGGAATAACGGAATATCGAGTGGAACTTTTCAAAAGGGGAGTAATCTAGTCGAGTTGTTGTGTATACTGCCAGTGTGTGTGAATATGCGTGTGTGTGGATAAGAGAATAATAGAAGATGTTGTTTGAATGTTGTTTGTCACACAAACACAAATAAGTCAGAGAATCAATCACAATGAATATGTACACAAACCTCATACAGTATTAAAATATACACTAAGCTCTTTATGTGAGTCCATTAACGGACTTTACAGTTATTTAACAGTGTTGTTGTTTAAATAGATGAACAGATATGTTTTAATGTATTGATTTATACTGTAAGTAAATCAGTTGAGGTTAACAGTTAAATCAAGAGATTTACTGAAGAAATGAAATGTTGTCTTTTGAGTGCTTAAGGAACTTAATTTCCTGTATGGATAAAATATGACTTTATTACGGAAAAAAAAAAAAAACTTCCGGTAAATGGAGCGTTCCAACAGTACCTTGACAACGGACAAGTTAATGTGTGGTTTTACTGTAAATATTAAGGGTTAGTAGTAAAGGAAAATAACAGAGGATTATGACACATTGAACAGATAAGGCATATTGACGCATTAAAACGACACATGAAGATGAAAATAAAATGACAGGAGACAGATTTACAGCTGTCATTGTTAACGAGCATGAAGCGGCTTCATGGGGACACATTATGGTAATCATGTTTTAGGATTAGTTCTATTGTAGCCTAAATGTAGACATTTCATACCAGATGATGATTCGAGGTAAAAGAAGTTACAATGATTTTGTAAAAACTTACCCGACACTTTCCGTCATT